GGCTTAGGCCATAGACCAAAAAGTTCTGCCACTTCAGATTCAGTACAGTGGTCATGTTTTAGGAACTTACCTCTGCTTTCTGTTGTGTTTTTTTTAAAGGTCTTTTCTTTTTTCTTTTTTTTTCTTTTGGGGTGGGGTGTGGGGTGGGGCTTTTTCTGGTCACAGCTGTAATGTACACGAACGTAAACGTACATGTATTGATATCAACATGTGCGGTATCTTTCTCCCTCATTCCGTCTCTAATCATGAAACGGAAATTATCCCTGTGCCTTTTTTACTTTATTTGTTTCTCTTTCCCAATTCAATGGAGCTATGTTGTTAACTCAGTTGGTATTGCACTAGACTATGGAGCGGATGACTCAGTTTCGAATCCTTAAAAAGGCGTTTTTGTGATCGAGCTGTTTTGTGGAGTTTTCAAGGTGTCAGCCCAAAGTGTTCGGTTTTTATCGGAAATGAACTTTCAATTCGGAAAGGTTCTTTATCAACTTTCAACTTATTTTAACGCCCAGCAATCTGATTTATGTCGTTCTTTTGCTGTTCACTGCCATCATTATTGCCTTTAAAGGACTTTGAACATGGCCTAATTATGTTGTAGGCTACTAAGGGGTCTATACAAATCCAGTGCTACTTTTTCTCGAGACAGAAAACTGCAAATGCTGGTCTACCCTTCTTTTCCAAATATAGGCTATGAACTTTCAAATTATAACAATATACTATAGGGTTCCATCGTCATGTTTTAGCAGAAAAAAAGTCATCTGAACATCGAGCATTCTTTTCTAAACGGGGGGAAAGTCAAACCAAACCAAAACGAAGCAAAACAGAACAAAATAAAACAAAACAAAAAGATCGGAAAGAGCGTTAAGCGCAACATGTGAATTGGAGGTCACTTGCTCTTCGTTGATAGTAATGAAGGTCCATTGTTACTTGTGTTTTCTTTTCACTATTTTTAGTGATTGTCCAACATTCCCAGCCACGTACATTATACGTGTTCCTTTTCTCAAGCGAACAAACAAACAAACAAACAAACAAACAAACAAACAAACAAACAAACGAGCAAGCCGTATAGAAGAGTATACCACACACTGCCTTTTAAAACTTTCATTTTGAGAGTCACTGAGGCGTTTCTATTGTTCAGGATTATTGAAACTATCTTTAGCCGTTGCAATTCTTCGTTTCGGTTCTATGGCACATTTAGCACCAGTAGTATATATATCCTAGATATTTAAATTGTTGAATCTGTTTGATCTTTTACTTTCTGAATTGTGCGGTGGAATTTGTCCAAAACGGTCACCCATTGTCGAGTTAAAAAGTGGTCAAATTAGACAGGAGGTCCTCTTGGACAGTGTGGTTATAATTATGTATGCATGTTAGAAAAAAAAAGTTTGAACGCAAAATGGGGAAGTGGCCGTTTGTACGGGTACACGGGCGACATTATGATGTAGATCTATTATGAAAATATAAAAATAAAAGATGCCGAACGTTTCATAAAAATCCTGGTTGAGATTTGTGGCGGTCATCTGTTTGACTTCCAGTACTTTTCTTCATTCAAGGGTTATTATAGGGTTTGACAATAAAATAATGAACGCCACAGTGTTTGTTATCAATAATAATTAATAATAGTTGATATGGCAGTCATACAGCCAGAGTATTGGTGCTCACAATCAGTAGTAGGGACATAACAATGATAAACATGGCAATCATAATATAGACGTGCAGAGTAGCGCCCCTTCTTTCATATGGAAAGGGTAAACTTAAAATGTACATTCGAAGACTACATCACATCTCTCATAATGTTTGAAAAACAGTTATATTATAATAAGACCCAAATCTTCACCGGCCTGCGTTTTGGCTCTCACTTTCAACGTATTTATCATCAGTTATTCAATGCTGCTACTACAATCAAACATACTGACAACCATGTTTGATTTTGGTACCTTCGAAAGACGCCGTGGGCAACAACTTCTTTGGTGGATATTCTCGTTGTTTAGAGGTTACAGTGTTTGCCTCTTATTCAATAGGTCCCGGGTTCGAAACCTGACAGCGACTGAATATTTTCTTCTTTAAAATGTTTTCCTTTCAACTCCTTTCCTTCTCTGTAACCATGTTCTGTCGTCTGCTTTCGTCTCCACTTTATGCCGCCCCCTCCTCTTTGCCCCCTGCTCAGGGCTCCTGACTCTCTCTGCGCCTTTTAACACTACTCATTGGCTCCTTACTGCTGTCTTTCAGCCACACCCCTGATCTTATGGAAGGTCAGATCTAAAATCTAGCCTTCTCGGATGAGGTCGAAAAATCTCGGGGGTCCCGTGTGCAAGTTATGCACGTTTAAGATCCTTTGGTGGTCCTAGAATCGATAAGAGTAGGCTTCGGATGCCACCTGGGAAAAATTCAAAATTCCTACTAAACTGAAAATGTTTAATATGCCCGGAGCACTCATCTGACCTATACAGTTGTGAACGCCGCAAAACATTTGGCCAAACAAACAAACAGCTTTGGTCTAATTTTACAATGAAAAAGACGTGCTTTTTCAACCTCAACTCCCCCACCCCCACCCCGCTCCTAAAACAAGAGTAGGAGAAGAATTACAGTAAGTGCAAAGGAAAAACCTACGTCCTGTGCAAAGAAACCATTAGTAAAATCGCACTTGTGGAAAAACACAATAATGTATTGGTTTTTACAACAAGGAATAGATATATACATAAAAATAATATATTATAACAATTACTGAAAGTGTAACGACCGACCGCACCAGTTACTCGGGATTGTAGGAGGACAAAGAAATAAAGATGCTTCCAGCTTTTAAGAACACATCTTAGCTTAGGTAGAGTTTAGTCGTTCAAAGAAACCATTAAAAAGCTTGCACCAATGGTAAAATACAAAAACGTGTTGGTTAGTAAACCTAGATATACACAAAAGCTAACAGAGTAACAAAGTTACTGAAAGTGTAACAGCCGACCGCACCAGTTACTCAAAAGTGTAGGAGGACCAAGCTATAAAGTTGCTTAAAGATTTTTAGTTAGATCACATCTATGTTGTGATAGACTTATTTCGTTTAAAGGAGTCATTAGTAAGCTAGCATATGTGGTAAAATACAATAATGCATCGGCTACTATAAGGAAAAAAAAAGTCCAGTAGTTAAAAGACCAAGCCAATGTACATGGCGAATTGAAAAACTGCTAATTTTGTGGGAAAGCACTGATTGTTTTTGTGCAAACCTTATATCACCACATGCACTGTCAAATAACGAATATACTGGTATAAAAATCCACTATAGATGAATAACTTTAAAAGGCACAGGAAACCGTTGTTTTGAAGAAAGATTATGGAGCAGCCTGTCAACAAGACTCACATTCTTCATACATACTTCAACAAAAGTTAAGGACCAACTTACATAGAAGCCTAAGTTTTTTTTAATTCGAAAAAGAAGACGGCAAGGAATGTTTCAAAATTTTTTGCTCTGGAAGTGTTAATGGGTTACCAATACGTACTGCAAAGCTTCCCAATGCAGCGCGGAAATCTTCGGGGAATTTTAGCCAAATTTACTGTTTTTTTTATCGACTTGTGTGCGACACCAGGGATATTCCTCAGTTAAAATTTCTAGTGCACGTCATAAATGGACGTACGGTCTCATACTGTGCTCACTTTGGTGGCTAATATAAGCCGCCGTTTGCTCAAAATCCAGTATCGCATCAACATGCCACCAAGACGAAAGCTGGCAGACTTTGATCGTGCCAGGGCTGTGACATGGCTGCAAGATGGAGTCAGAGCCCGAGAAGTTGCCAGAAGGCTTGCAGTGTCACACTCTGTTACTGTCCGCCCGAGGCAGCGCCATCAAGCCACTGGATCCATCCAAGAGCGCCCACATTGCAAACATGCAGATCGACCTAAGAAGACCACTAAGTGTTTGCAAGTGGTCCTTAACTTTTGTTGAAGTCTGTATGACATGAGGTATAATATACTTCGTTCTACTTACGTGTGGAATAACAATTATCATGGATCCTTTGCTCTTCCTCTTGTAGTTCTCTCTCTCTCTCTCTCTCTCTCTCTCTCTCTCTCTCTCTCTCTCTCTCTCTCTCTCTCTCTCTCTCTCTCTCGCCAGTTTTCTTTTTGTCTGACTTCCGCTTTCGATTTCAACAACAATGTAAAAAGTAAGGTCAAAGTTCGGTTGTAAGTTGTAACTTTTCTTCAGCAGTGGTCACTGGGCACGATGGCAGTTCCAACATTACGGTCAGCTACAAATATTCTCCGTGTCGGGTTTGTGCGGCTCAGTGCAAGATGTTACAGCTCTACCACAGCACAGTCGGGTGACCAAAGCCCGGAAGATGAATTCCACCTCAATTATCTTGATGGAGATCAGAAAGGTTCGACTCGTAATTTTTGCACTTCTTGCTGCTTGCCGCTTGCCGGTACCGCAATGATGTTCTGCAGTCAGGCTACCTGTTTACTATAATTTATAGGCCTACTAGACTAGATTAGATCTAGATCTAGATCTAGATATTTAGATCTAGATCTAGGCTAGATCTAGATACAGTCGAACCTGTGTAAGACGGAATCGCAAGGGAGCAAGAAAAAAATTATGTCTTAGACATTTTCCGTCTTCTTAGACAGGGGAAATTAGGGGGAGATGGAAGTTTGGGGGGGGGGGGGGTCAAAGGCCCAGCCGGTGGGATCAAGGATCGCTTGTCCGATCGGCAAGCAGCGGTCATAACTTCACACCTCTCAATTGCTATCCTTTCTGATAATGATAATGATAAGTCTTACTTATCCAGTTACTACCAGTGCTTGCCTTTCATAGGACCTCTGTTTGACCTATTAAAAACAGAAACGTTTGAACATCTCCCTTGCTTCCACTCTTAGCCCCACCCACCAATACCACCCCTTACTGCCATCATTGTAACAACGATTCAATGAATTCTTTTCACGGCTGGCCATACGATCAGGGCGGTAGGCTTTGGTCAATCTAATCTCACACCTCAGGGTTCTGGACCCAGGAAAGTTTCCGTAGTGGCTCGCTACTTGAGCACTCTCACGGGCAGTCGTGATATTTCACACCCACACTACACTGACCATCTGCATCGCTCAGGGCTCACATGATGGGGTAACATCTACCCCCAAATTGCCCCCCTACTCCCCTTCCTCGCCTAGCCGCATGACCACAACGTTAGTTTAAAGTTAAAGCCAGCGGAACCCAACTTGCGAGTTTTGTTTCAAATCAGGGCTGAGCGGGCAAAGCATTTTCCGTCTTAGACAGGTGAAACCCTTGGAAGGGAGCGGATTTTTCTTTCCGTTTCCGCGTTGGCAGGTTTCCGTTTTATACAGGTAATTAAAGAGGAATATATCAAGGGGGGAGCGGGGAGATTCCGTTAAGACAGGTTTCCGTTTTACACAGGTTTCCGTTAAGGCAGGTTCGACTGTATATATATATATGCAGAAGTCTTTGGTCTATTCTTTGTTATGGAAAGAATAATTTACAGATGTTAAGGTTCAATTGAAGTTTTTTGACGTTCTTATCATTCTTGATTCCTCCAGGTATCGCAGTGTTTTCCCTCCGGAGATTCCGTGTCAAGAATGCCATGGGCAGGAATGTCCTCAAGCGAGTGAGTTTTTGTTGGTCCAAATGGAGAAGAAAATTAATAATTAAAATATTAGCTTGTTAGTGTAATTGTAGCTGTCTTTGAGTTTTTTCCTATTAACTGGCTGTTTTTTGTTTAAATTTGATATATATGTTAGTCAGCATTGTCATTCTGGTTTTGAACTATTTTGTTTTTCTCAAAATTATTTTATTGTTAAAAAAATATGTGAACAATAAAAATTTGTCTAATGAACAGATCAACAAAGTTGTATCATTGCAAAGATGATTATTTGTCTTTTCCATGTGAAAAAATCAGAAAGATTAGATATTGTATCAAGGATAATTTTTCAAAGAATGACCCATAACGGCATAGGGAAGTTCTACTATTTTAAAAAGTCTTAGCCTCAAATGACTTCATGGAAGATTGGGATGATTTTCAACATTTTCTGATAACCTTGTTATCAAATTCTACTGTAATGTCATCATTGATAAGAGAAAAAGAGACAAGTGCTTACATGTATGCTCTTAGTGTTATCAGTGTCGGTGAGGTCAATGATAATCCTGCCCTGCTTTCCTGATGGCATATATTTCAAGTATTTGACCACTGAGTTTTGGTAAATGTACCAGTCAATTCTGTTTGGTGTTGTAAGTCCTGAATGATGTCATAAAGAGTGCAATTAACATTTTTTTGTACAGCCGTTCATGGACTAGAACATTATAATGTCTCTCACCCTCTCCCTCTCATGTGCCATTTTCAGGAACACTTAATTATATCATATTTATCAAAGGTGTTTGTTTTTTTATAAGGAACCGCGTTTGAATTTTATTTGAACAAGAAGAGACAAAAACAGAAAAATGCACCACTCATTCTGAAAGACGGTTTGTTGCATCACATAACTGCCCCAATACATTTGAAATCATTTAGGAGGCACGCTGCTTGGACGCAGCCTCTTAAAAGGACAACTTGATTTGAGTGGGGTACAGCATCCCAGCATTTGCAATTTTTAAAGAAATTCGCAAATTCAAGTCGTTCGGGAAATGTTTAAAGGGGCGCTACTGTGTTGGAACACATGATACTGGGTGACTCAAATTGCGAATTTAAAACGTTTGCAAAAAAATGGAAGGGGCAAAACGCAAACAACAACAAAAAACCCAGCCCCCCCCCAAAAGAAGACCCAACCAATGTACAGTAATTTTAATATCAATTAAAGATTAAGTTTGCCTTTCACTTCTATGAGATGGTGTACAGAAAGCTGTGCCAAAAGTTGAATGAAGTTCTCCCTGAAAAGGTTGTACACTGGTGCCAGAAACAAATGTTCACACTTGGCTTAGAGTTAGGGTTGGCCTACTGTTTTGGGACAACAACAAAAAGTTGTTTTTCAGATTTTGATGTTTCTTTCAGATGTTTTCCTTCTTTTCTTATTGTAGTACATACTTTTCTCCTTGGCCCAAGAATACTTTGGCAAAGTTAACCCACTCAGATAGCCATTGATTTGATCGTACACGTTCACGCCCCCTGGACATTTTTTAGATTGTATAGGAGGCGATCTATGTCTCCTCTCAGGAATCAAACACATCTTTTTCATGCAAAAACTAAGAGCCTATTCATTACACCACAGACGCATGTACAGATGGTATTTTCTTCATGAAAAACAATTATTGACTAGAGAAACATTTTGATTTTTACATTTCTTCATATTGATTTTTAAATCATGCCACTGAATATCGACTGCTAAATATAAGACTCTGCCATGCACCATTTTGAAAAGTGATGTATGAAGGAGTCTTACACTGGGCAGCTGAATGTTGTTATTGTTATGGATCCAGCTATCTGGAACTGTTAATATTTTGATAGAAGTGATGTTCAATGGCATGTTACTCATTTATTGTCTTCAGCTTCATGATGCAATGGAGGAGGTCAAGTTTGATACTGGAGTTCGGTGTGTGGTCATCCGCAGTGAGGTTCCAGGAGTTTTTTGCGCAGGTACAGTGGTCAGGGTTGACTTGTCCAAACTTTTTGCTTTGAATTCACATAACATGGCAGCGTTATTAAAGACTGTCTAAGACAGACATTTGATCTGCCTCTCCTCCCCCCCCCCTCCTCTGGGCTCCAGACTCTTTCTGCAGCCTTCCCACTGCTTATCCTTGGCTCCTTCAGACTGCTGTCTTTCAGTCACAACCCTGATCTTAGCGTAGGTAAGATCTAACACCTATCTTTCTCAGTGAAGGGTGAAAAATCCCATGTGCAAGTTACGCACATTGAAGATCCCTTGGTGGTCCAAAATCGATAAGAGTAGGTCTCAGTCGCCACCTGGGCAAACTTCAAAATTAATTCCTACCAAACTGAAAATGTTTAATGTGTCCTGTGCACTCATTTGACTTTATGCAGTTGCGAGCGTCATAAAACACTTGTCAAAACAAACAAAACTGTTGACCTTGAGTTGTTAAGGAATTCCTCATATTACTGTACTGAAAGGTGCTTATAATCTTGTTGGGAGCTCCTATTTTCTCCATGATGAATTTTTCACGGTCAAGTTTTTTGTATACTTTGATGAACTTATCTTTGTTTTGTGATAAGTTTTTTAGGGAAGGAGATGGGGTGTTCATTACAATTACCGCCACACTTGTTTGAAAAAAGCTGCTGTCATCAGTGAGTGTTACTAGTTTACTATTGTCTGATGTTTTCTTATCCCTCCCCTCTAGGCGCTGACCTCAAGGAGCGGCTGACGATGAGCGAGAAAGAAGTGGCTGCCTTTGTGGCGGGCATTAGGGCCAATGTGACAGGTCTTCACAATCTGCCGATGCCAACCATTGCGGCACTTGATGGCGCTGCTCTGGGTGGTGGATTGGAGATGGCTCTCAGTTGTGACCTCCGAGTTGCTGGTAAGGAGAGAAAAGATAGAGGTTTTTTTTTTGTTATTTTGATGTGGGGCTGTTGTTTTTGGGAGGAGTGGGGGGGGGGGAGAGACTTATTTTATAGTTTGTATTACACTCACACAAACTGATGGATAATCTATTAGTCCGCTATAGATTTTGGAATTTCATATCTTGAAGAAGGTTGTAAAATTTTCTCCCATCATATTTACATAGATAGTCCTGTTTTTCCTTCCATTGAAGTGTTATGTTAAACTAAAGTGCCGTGAAGGCCACATGGGGCATGACTGAAAATAATGAAAAATGTAGCTATGCCATTTATCTCCTCTGTAGTTTTCTCATTTCTTAAGTTGATTGCTTGTATATTTTCTTTTCCTGAACCACAGCGAGCAATGCCAAAATTGGTTTGGTTGAGACGGCATTGGCCATCATTCCCGGCGGGGGTGGAACTCAACGCTTACCCCGAATTGTTGGACCCTCAGTGGCGAAAGAGCTCATCTTCACGAGCAGGGTCATGGACGGCTGGCAGGCGAAGGAGTACGGTGTGGTCAACCACTGTGTGGAGCAAAACGACAATGGAGACGCTGCCTACCTCCGAGCTCTCAAGCTAGCAGAGGAAATTTTACCTAATGTAAATCTTTTCTTTTCTTTTTTTTTTTCTCTGACTTTTGGTTGTTTGGCTGTTAAATATTATCTGATCAGAGAAACTGGGTGGTTTGGGGTTGGGGTTTTTCTGTAGGGGGGATGGGGGGGGAGGGATTGGATTTACCAATCTGATTCTTTTGAGTTCAGAACATTTTGAAATAAGAGGAACTTTTAAGTTTTTTAATGTCCTGGCTTGATATTTCTGAATATGTATAGATTTCTTTAACATATTACGGTCTCTTGGCGCATTAATGTGGAACTGTGCTAGGCCTGAGAAGTCCATTTCAGTCTCCTGGCTGGGTGACCAGATGGGGGTATTCTGTGACTTCAAAGTGTTAACAGAATTAAAAGATGCCAACCATACAAAAGCTTCCCTCCTGTATATGCTGTCTAAGACAAACCCTGTGCAAAGATAGTACAAGACAAGATGGGCCACTCAGCCTAAAAAGTGTCCGCAGGAAGTATGCTCTTTGCTTCAGATGGCGCTGCAGTCTGTTTTGAAGCTCTCTTTCGTTTTTCCAGAAGAAGAATAGGAATAGCACCTCCTTGCGTGCGCAGATCGACTGCTGTTCATCAGCAGTTCGGGTACGTTCAGTGCGGAGTTTTAGGTTTTTAAACATTTTAATGACCTCCTGCCCTTCATTCTAAAGTCAAATTAAACGAAGAAAACCATCTCCTTCTCCTCCGGAAGAGTTTTTTTGTCAGCTTAACCATTTTTTAAAAGCGTTCTTCCGAAATTTATCCCAAAACTTGCTAGTTTCACTTTGATTTTTAAAAACTCAAGTAGGGTAACTCTGTTCGCAAAGAGTGCGCTTTTGTGAAGAGGGCGCCACCAAATTTTGAGGACACTTTTTTAATTGGCTCAAAGAGAGAAGTGGCCCATCTTGTCTTGTACTATCTTTGACCCTGTGTCAGGGTTTTTATTTAGACCTGTCACTCAAGTAAGGCTCGTAAACTCATTTGGAGACTGATATTACAAGCTCTGATAAAGCAAAGTTTCTCTTTCATGATGCTGCCATCTCTTCAATATTAACATTGCAGTTTATATATCTCTTTGTGTGTTTACTATAACAGAATTTTATTTTCTCCCTAGGGCCCCATTGGTGTACGCATGGCAAAGGCTGCTATCAATAAAGGCTTTGAGGTATGTCGACGCTGGTGCATTCTTTGAGACCAATTAGTATTTCATTAAGTCATTGTTTTCCTCAAAAGTGATATGTGAAACGTGCTGACAAAATAAGTTACTTCTTGGATTCGAGCCATATGGAAATAGGTACCCCACACTTTTAAGTTTTTAAAGATACATAAGTATGAAATAAGAACAGGCATATTACACTTAAAGAATATGGCTTCAAAAGAAAATCTACAAATTTGACCCTTGTGTTGATTTTTTTGCCAATGTTATCTCCTTTTGTGGATTGCAAGAAGTAACTAATTTTGTCAGCTCGCCTCACATATGGTATCGCCTTTGGGATCTGTAGGAATATTTTGTCGAGATGCATGCTTGTATTTTTTTCTACTGTACATATCCATCTAAATCGAAAGCATTAAAGATTCTGGTGAGTTTAGACTGCTCAAATAGTTTTGGACATAGAAGTACAATTGAGTCTGTATTGACACAAACACCTGAAAAAATGGTTTTTCCATAAACTGCAGAAAGTTTTTTAATTTGTGAATATATCTCTTGCTGGGTCAATTATCATTTACATTATTTCTACTGTACTTCAGGTCGACTTGGAGTCTGGACTCAAGTTTGAGGAAGCTTACTATGCCCAGGTATTGATTTATGATTTTTGCACGTACTTACAATGCTTGCTTTCTTCATTATTTCTTTTATTTTGGCTTCATAACATCAGAGTAGACTAGAAAAGAACGCTTCAGAAATAAAATGTCTGAATTCTGCTTAATGTATTTAGTAATAAACTCTGTGGAGTTCTGACAATATTTCTCATGTGTTATCCCCGGCGCGGGTAGTCTAGTTGTTAGGCTGTCAGACTCATAATCATAGGGTCGCGGATTCAGGGGTTTGAGTTACAAACCCGACGTGTCCTTGGGAGAGGCATTTTTACATTTTACACAGATTTTCCTCATTTCGCCCTGGTGGGTACGGGTACTCGGCCAGAGACAGCGAAAGATCTTGAAGGTATGCGAGTGATTTAGCACCTATAAATGGTAGCTTGCACTATATGCTTCCCAGGAAGTTGAGATTGTTTCAGAATGATATTAGGTCAGCTAGTCATAATATAGATTGTAAAGTATATAGAGCTTACTGTTAAGCAGGAATTTGGGCAATACCAATGCTATCTATTATTATTATTATTATTGTTGTGTCTAGAAAGGTAAAGAAATGTCTGAATTGCATATGATAGCAAATATATTTTGCCATCATCTACACAATTAGGTAATTTGGCTTCCACTCTGCCAATCAGAGCCATGAATATGAAGGGAAACCCAACATTCCAGCAGACAGACGGAGATACTCGATGAAATAAATTTCATACAAGGGAATTGAACTCATGACTTATGTGTGAAACAGCAAAGTTGTTATGCCACATACACTGGTAGAAATGTTTGAAAGTTTGTTTTACAAAGACATGCGCAGAAATCTAAAGGGCTAACTCGATATCTGTAAATTTTACAGGAAAGTGAAAAACTAAAAGGCAAGTCTATTTTAATTAATTATACACATTTAGCTGTTTAGAATCTAATGTTGTAGCGACTATTTGGATAGGTTAATCTGGCTGAAAGTTATATTTTAGATGTGTTCCGTGATGTCAGTCAGAATTCAGGGGGAAAAAAACTCCAAAACCGCAGTTTTGAAGTAAGCTTTTTAGAACCCTGCAGCAACTATATATTTTTTGACATCTTAACAAACTCAAGCAGTTTCACACTGCTTTGTTTAGCTTTGGAGCAGCTCTTTATTGTGAGCTAGATTTAGCTTCTCTTTCATTGGGACACATCACAGTGACCACCCACCCAATTGCTATTATTATCATGACATTGCCTGATATTTCACTCGACCAAGTTCTTAAAACTCTCTCCCCCAAAGGGATAATCACACAAACATACAGCAACTTAGTAAAGAACTTCATTTCACTCAAATCTGGGAACTAAAATCTCAACCTGATGATAAATATTAGTCTTTGTTCAATGGCTTTTGAAAAATTATTTTTAGTAGGCTTTCCTTTTTGTCATCGTGCAATACATCTTAGTGCATATTATATTTTTTGTTTCCTTCGTTTGAATTGTATGTTTACTCACCTTTGTGACTTCCATATTTTCAGGTCATTCCAACCAAAGACAGAATTGAGGGGCTCAAGGCTTTCAAGGAAAAGCGCGTACCGAAATATGAAGGACATTAGATGTTATTAAGACGGAGATAGTGTTAATACAACCATTGTCTGGGATGAGCATGTATTTGCTCTCTACCAAACCTCGGGAAAATGTTTGAGATTAATTGTATCTATCCTTATTAAGGGGACAAAGTTTTTAGAGCTCATGACTTTATTTTACGGCTGTTTGGCATTGGTAAGTCAGTACATTATAAATTCTCACTTACTTTTGTTCAATTTGTCTTTTTTAGACTAATTTTGAGATTGTTAAATTTGTTGACTAGAGGGACTGTCTTTGTCCGATACTTGTTTGAATATATTGATCTTTGTTCTTCCTCTTTTCTTCAAACCACTTAGCTTTAGGGGTCCTTTATACCTTATGTTCTAATAGTCCCCTATCTATAATTCCTGGAAATAGCTACAAATTACACATGTTTTATGATATTAATATTATTTGCTTGCATGTGTGCTATGTATCAAATCCTCTAGGCACTTCAGTTGTTGTACTTTAATCGATGCAAGAGATTTGTGTCCTTTTCGTAGCCATTGTCTGTCAGGGAATATCCACAAGGCAGCTCTATGGAGTTAAACCAGAATTGTTGGAATGAATAGTTTTGTTTTGACAAATACTGCATTTTTACAAGGACATTGCTGTATATACACAGTCGATTCTCCACATTTTTTCTTTCTGGATTAATCAGATTTGTTTCTTCTGTCTTATTTCATTTTTTTTCCAGGTTGTGTTGCGATGAGTTTGTTAAAGTTGTGAGAAAAGACGGACAGAATCCGTATGCCAGCTCTCGTTTTTTAATCTGCAGTCGTTACTTTTTTTTTGAGTGGGGGGAAAAAGGTCAGTTGGCATCTTTGTTGAAGGAGACTTGTCATGCCTTTATAATTAATGATGAGTATGTCATGCGATCCCTGACACTGATCATGCCTATATGTTTATGGTTTTGAGTCGACATACCATATGCAGCTACCTACCAAGTCGCTTTAAAATTAATTGTTGAATGCTGTTGGTCAATGTTCTACTCAGCTCTCAGAGCTAGCCAATGTTGTCAGCATTTTTAGCTTAATTTTTTAATCTATTCCTAACTCTTTTACTGTGATAGTTGTCTGTCTGACATATGTTATTATGTTGAAAAAAACAACCTTGTTCAATTGGGACAGATTATATGCTAAATATTCAGTCGTTATAATTGTTGTTATTATTACTGTGACAGAAATGTGTTTTTTGTTTTTTTTCACAACTAGTGATTTGCATTGTTTACCAGGTCTGTGAACCTGTAACAAGTGTAATGCTGTCAAAAAGAGAAGTTGTTTTTCTTCTGTTTGTTATAAATACAGAAGAAGATGGTGGATGTCTTATAGTTTGAACAGGCATCTTTTGAGACATTGAAATATTACTGTACTTTTCATGCAGGAAGAGTGACATTCTGTAATGTACATGTATCTCAGCTCTTCAAATTGTCATAAGGTTCGCTGAAATTAATTTTGTTTAGATAATAAGGATGTGGGTCAGAATTATAGTAATTGAGCTAAAGATTAAAATTTTTGCAAGAGTTTTCTTGAGTTGGCTGTTATTGTAATGTCCAAAGAGAAGGGGAACTATACCTCTTATGGTGAAAGGGAAACTTTCCTCAGAATTTAAATAAGAATCACCGCTGAATGGACTCGCCCTTCTGAGTTATGGATTCTTAATTTGTGAGAAAGTCTAGGTCTTGGCTGTACTAATGGTCCGTCCGAGTTGTGTTTCACAGCTTATTATATTCTTATAAGAAATATATGCATTCTGCTCACACTTTTGACCTTCTGACACAGACTTTTTATAAAGCATTACCATGACTGAGTCACAAGCCAGACTTTTTGATGAAGCATCTAGAGACTGTTGTTAATACACTGAGTTTGTTCTGAGCTTGAATAAATAATGTGTGAAGTAAAAACTCATTTTTGTTTCCGTTTTTAACCAAGTCCTCTTAGTCGGGTGTCTTTACTGAAGCTCAAATGTTATGCATTGAAATCGATTTCTTTGCTTTGATGGTGGTGTATGATATTCAAACAACATAATGTGTAACTGAACTAATCAGTATTTCAAGGAGTTCTCCTTAATTTGAATGATCTAAGCAAACATAATGTACCGGTATCAATGTGCTGAAATGACTCAGCTGCTCTTCAGCACGGAGTTTCAGTTATCATGTAAACAGATTGTCACCCTTGTGATTAGATGGGCCGACCAGACCCAGTAGAGCAGCAATAAAATTGTGTTTTCATCTCGTAGCAACGTCATATCCGGTTAGTTTAATACTCGACTTTCCTTTTAAAGTTCAAGGCCCATTTCTTCTCAGAGGTCAGACCTGTCTTGGATTTGGCATTTGAAATGGATAATTTACTGTGAATTATGTTAAATTTTTAAGAAATGTGATATTTTGTGGGGTAGGTGATATTACCACAAGGGCAACGGCGTAATTAGTGTAGCATGTTCAGATACCTAGTATGTTCATCAATAATTATTGCATTTGTGTTTGGCGACAGTTAATGATTAATCTATCTGTGCAACATTGTACAGTTTGTATTTTGAATGCTCGTATGTCCATGTGTGTCTTTTTATGCATGCTTGTGGGCTGTGTCGAGTCAAAATGTTGGCTGCAATATAAGATTTTATCTTTTGAAAGCAAAGGTCCATAATGTTTACTACTGGATAGTTCGAAAGTTATGAACAAACTTCTTGGGATGATTTAGTTTTATATGTCAGAGAGTAATTGATGTTATGTATCAGGAAAGCTCTTCAGAAGAAGCAAATAATGTGTGCACTGATAGTTGCATGGTGAGACTGATCTTTTTCAAGATGGCAAACTGTTTTGAGGATTTTGCATTAGATGTGTGAGAGACTAACATGTATTTCATGTTTTGATCCTCTGAAAATTAAAGATTTTCTCTCAGTGTTCGGGTTGTTTTTCGGTTTATTGGTATAGGAAGAAATAATGTTTGTCTCAGTTCTGGACGAGGATACCTTGTACATGTAAATCTTCTTCATCTTCTCTCTCTCTCTCTGTGTCTTCCTCTCTCTCTCCCTCACTCCCACTCTCTCTCTTTCTCACTATCTCTCCCCCTCCCTCCTTCCCCTCTCTCATACTTCCTCCTTCCCCTCTCTCTTTCTCTCTCTCTCTCTCTCTCTCTCTCTCTCTCTCTCTCTCTCTCTCTCCTTTACCCAAGGAGCTTAAAACAAAGTAACCTCCTTGCCTAGCTCCTTCACCCCACGTCCTTATCACCCTGCCACGCTCTCCATACCTGCCTTCCCATTTAACAGCCTTCCTCTTCCGCTGCCATCTTTCTCATCCCTCCCTTTCCCATTTATTTCTACTCCCCTCCTATTCTTCCATTTTAAAATTATTTTTTAAAAAAAGTGTTTTACGGCGCTTGCATCTGCATAAGGTCATATGAGCGCGCGGGACACATTAAACATTTTTCAGTTGGTATGAAATTTTGAATATTTCCCGGGTGACGGTCGAAGCCTACTATTTTAGCCACAAAGGAATCTTTAACGTGCGCAACTTGCACACTGGACCTCCGAGATTTTTCGACCTTGTCCGAGAAGGCTTGGCGTTAAATCCTACCTTCCAGAAGATCAGGGGTGTGGCTGAAAGTGAAAGACAGCAGTAAGAAGAAGCCAAGCTGTAGCAGTAGAAAGGCTGCAGAAAGAGTCAAGAGCCCAGAGGAGGGGGCAGAGGAGGTGAGGGGGTTGGCGGCAGAAAGTGGAGACGAAAGCAGACGACAGAACATAACTAAAGAGCAGGAAAGGAGGTGAAAGTGAAAGGAGACAATTTTAGAGAAGAAACATTTTCCGTCGCTACCCGGATTCGCACCCGGGACCTTTGAATGAGAGGCCAACACCTTAACCTCTTGGCCACGAGAGCCTCCTTTCCCTCTTTCCCTCAAAGAAAGCAAACAAACCCACTTACCGTACTGATATTTCTATCGGCCCACATTCATACATACTTTCCTATCTTCCCACCTACCTACCTACCTATCTACTTGAATGCCTTCCTGTCTACATCCCAAGCTACCTGTTTGCCTGTGGGTTGTTGGCGGGTGCTCTGGTGTGGTTTGCTCCTTCTTTTCTATCAAACATGTATCGTCCTTATCTCTCCTCCTTTTTGAGTATGTTACTCTCTTGTACCACATCTATTCTTCAGCACTTATATAACCTTATTGAGCTGCAAGTGCCGTAAAACTCTTACTGAAACTAAAATTAAACTGTTTGCCTGTCTGCCTACCTACCTACTTACCTATTTACCTGCCTTCATACTTACCTACCTGCCTGGCTGTCTCTTTCCTTACCTATCGACCTGACAACCTATTTACCTACCTACCTACAAAATTGCCAACCAATATGCACGTATCCATACACTCATACACGCCCCACACAGACACACACACACACACGCACACACACAC